AATCCATTCTTTCCCAATTTTCCCCACTTGGTCGAATGATTTTAGCCTAGGAAAACTCTAGAAGTGTATTTCTTTCCTCTCCAAGTCAAGCTCACCAAATCTATTTTAACTTCAATCAATTAGGTCCATACCCTTTTTATTATTTTTTCCTAAATCATCCACACATTTAAACACATCAAAAAAACTTTGCATCACAACACAAACACATAGATCATCACAATTTATCAAACCCTAACACCAACACAAACAACCATAGTAACCCATTGCAAAAATTATTACAAACCCATGGAATAAACACTTAAAAAGATATCATAAAACATAAAATAAACTAAAAATGGAACCTACTTACTTTGCTTTAATTTCCTAAAGGTTGTTTAGGCTTTCCCTTTCTCTCTTTTCTTTCTTCTTTCTTCTTTCTTTTCCTTTCCTCTTTCTCTCTTTCATTGCCATTTTCTCTCCCTTTTTGTGTAGCTACGGGATGCCTAAAATTTTCTTACCATTTTCACTTATTATATATATATATATATATATATATATATATATATACATGCTTAAAATCTTAGTACTAATTAAGTGTAAAAATGTCTTAATTTAATTTAGGAGAGTGGAAAGTAATTGGTGAGTCAAGAGAGAAAGAGTGGCGGGTTTGATGGGTTTAGGGTGAGCTGGCCTTGATTAATTAATTAAGGGGGCTTATATGTCCTAACTAATTGGTTAGACTAACTAAACACCCTAACTAATATATTTCAAGTAAATAAACATCCCTCCCTCTCACAATTTTTGGAAATTCCTCACCATAAACTCGGAATTCCTTTCCCCAAAAATGTTCCAACGAGTGATGCCTCTAAAGCGATCTATACTAAAATGGTCATAACTCTTTATAAATAGGCCTAAAAATAACGAAATGTTATTAGGTGTTAGTTGAAACATAGATAAACAACTTTTATTGTTTAGGATTTGCCTAAAAATCACTCTAAGGTCCTTGAATAAATCACACAAAATTTGGACAGAATATAGTCCTTAAAACACCGATTTTGCATATTTGATTTCTTTAATAATTAAACCATCAATCTCAAACAAAATAACTTTAATTTAACATAAATCATACATTTCAAGCATTAATTTCTTATGATGTAATGAGAATTATACTTACACTTAATATATGCATATATATAAATATTTTAATACGTGTCGCTTTATGGTTAAGGATTTTTACGGGGGTTACACCGACCCACTAACATCCAACCGCAGCTTGAAAATATTGGTTATCTTGATAAAATAATCTCTACTAGGTGGATTAAAACTTTTGAACATCACAAAAAAGGAAGAAAAAATAGTAAGTAGTTATTAAAATGATATATTAAAATGACAAATAGTGACATTGTCTTAAAAAAATAACATACCTTCCGCGAGTGACGGAAATAATTTGTTGACTAGGCGAACTTTAGGAGCTCTTTGGAGTGGCAAATACATCGATGGAAGTGGCACCCATTTCGAATGGTGTAGGAACCTCTGTTCTCGGTGTGAAAACCTCTATAGCTGGAGATGCTAGAGATGTGCTGGCTCCGTGGGAAGAAAAAAATATCTATGGCCTCGAGAGTCGAGGGACCCATGTATAGTGCCTAAAATGGGAGATCCCGACTAACGCTACTTGGCAATCCTTGTGGATCGTCGTCAATTTGGGATGCACGTCCACGATTACCAAAATATGATCCCATAGTGATTGTGGGAGGTCAACCCAAACAACATGTTATAGCCGAATAATATAACCTAAGACAATTAAATAAAATATCAATATTAATTATAAAATTATAAAATTAAAATTAAAATTAAATATAATTAATTTAATAATAAATTTAACTAAACATAATAAAATTAATTCTAATTTGAACGTTTACTAAATTTTTAAATATCGATATTAATTAATAAATTACAATATTAAGATCAAAATTTATCTAATTAATTTAATAATAAATTCAACTAAATGTAATAAAATTATTTCTAGTTCAAACATTTTCTAAATTATAAATATCGATATTAATTAACAAATTACAATATCATAATTAAAATTTATCTAATTAATTTAATAATAATTTCAACTAAACGTAATAAAATTATTTCTAATTCAAACATTTACTAAATTTTAAATATCAAACCTAATCAATAAAAATAACCATATTTAAATTAACCTAATTCAAAACCAATTAAATATTAAATATCAATTATGTAACCATTTGGACTATAATTAATATTAAAAATTAATCAATCAATTACAATAATATTAATAATAATTAAATTAATCCTAAATCAAATTAATTTAATTATATTAATCATAATTTAAATATTAATTATATTTTAAAACAACAACAAAATAATTAATAATTAATATTAACCTAGCAATTAACAAAAACAATAAAAAAATAACAAATTAACAATAAAAAGAAACAATGAAAAAAATAATAAATTAACAATTAATAAATTAACCTAACAATTGAATTAACTAAAAACAAAAAAACAAATTAACTATTTATATTAACCTAACAATTAATAAAAATAATAACAAAATAACAAAATTAATAATTAATTGACAAAATTTTAACTTATTAATTAATAAAAATAACTAAAAATTAGCATAATTAACCTACTAACTAGCCACATTAATCTAATTAGAAAAATAAAAGATCTAGAGAGAGAAAGAACAAATTACCAAAGGAAAGGAGGGAGAAGAGAGACCGATGACGAATCTCGGAGAGAAAGTTGCACCTTGCTAGGCCGAGTGGGCGGGGGAAGGACTGTGGTGGCATGGGGCGAGTGGTTAGGGGCTGTTGGGGGTGGCGACGATAATGGAGGAAAGAAGGAGGGAGGGAAAAGGGGAAAATAAGGAGGTGAGGACAAAGAGACTGCAAGTTAAAGGGGTTTAGGATTAGCGACGAATATGTTTTTGTTGCTAATTTATTGTTACTTAGCAACAAAAATAAGTATTTGTCGTTAATTTGAATTTCAAACGTCCGCTCGAATTGTTCATAAGGATTGAGAAGTTTATCTAAATTTGCAACTAATACATTTCTATTATTATTTTGTAGTTAATTAGCGAGGGAATAGTTGTATTCATCGCGAATTTGAAATTTCTAAGGCTATCAATTTTATTTACAAATTTTATGCAATTATCAATGGAATAATATCCGTTGTGGATTAGCGATGGATAGTGACAAATAGGCTCCGTCTCTTTGCCAACCCCGCATTTAGCGTTGGAATTTGTATTCCATTGCTAAATTCTCTTGCAAGTCCATTGTCGATCCATCATACCACACCCCATAGTGACGAAACTGTTTCGTTGTTAATTTTCTATCTCCAAAGCAACGCTGATTCATTGCCAAATGAAAATTATTTTCATTGCTATTCGGTCGCTATGAACTAAGTAAATAGTGATGAAAATTAATCCGTCATTAATTATCTATTTTCTTGTGGTGCATGCATGTTGAAATTAAGATTAGATTCTCAATTATTTGAATGCATAGATGGATTAATGATATGCATCCATCCTACCATGCATGGTGAAGGGCTGCTATCTAATAGGTCTCCATACCCGTAAGATCTTTAGGTCAAAGATTGTCCTTTGAATTGTCGATTTTGTTATTAATCTTAATTAACATTAATTTCCAAAGGAACCAACTTTGCTTAGAGCTTGAAAAACTTTTGTGGCTACTTGTTATAATATTCATTATAGCTAGCAAGAAACAGATGAAATGACGAAGAAAATTATACTGCAAATTCTTTGTTGTACTGCAAAGCATCACTAATTAAAATTTATATAGTGCCACGCACATATTCAATTTATATAGGCAGACAGGGCCAAAATTGCCATGATTAATTACTCTGCGTGCGCCTGGCATGATATTGTTTTCTTTGGCTCTTTGCTGTGTTTTTAAATGCAAGCAAGGGGCTTCGAATTTTTAATTTATGCATTAATAAACATAGGAATTTGGAATATTATGTAAATATCGATGGAGGGAGTTATGTTTGGCCTAGAAATTTTAGTAATGTCCCAAAGATATAAGAGTTATAAAGGAGGGAAGCATCCTAATTATCACTCCTTGTTATGTATTGAAAGTTTGATGAGACAACACAAGGTAATGAATAAAGTTCATTACCAAATCTTATAAAGGAGGCAAATTATGTTCTAATTTGACGTGGCTTAACTACATGTAGCCTTAGATACGAACACACCAAATCTCAGGATTGAATAAAGTTCAGGCTGATGTCTCTTTCAATTTTTAATTTCACATTATCACCATAACCAGTACAATGCCTTGATCCTTGAAAATTCTTCCAAACCTAAAAGAAAAATCTTATAGATCCTTTTGATGATTACCTATTTTTGACCCCACGTCACTCCTATAATAGGAAACCACCACAAATTACTAATAAAAAAGTAAAAATTGGGTACACGTCAAATTAATTGATTAAACTTGACTGATCTTGGTGATGAACACAATTGCCCAAACGACCATCAGGTTTGTCCATTGCTATTGACCCACAAAATGAAGAAAATCTGTGGGTGGGATCAGGAATGGAATCATCAAAATGATGATTATCATATAAACACAAGAAACACGCAATAAGTGACTTTCTTTCGTTTTTTCCTTTTTTTTTTTTTTTTTTTTTTTTTTCAATTGTCATGACGCGAAAGTATATCATGAATGGATCCAAGATCCTGTCCTTGAATATCTTTGACAAAACTTAAAAAAAGGTGCTAGCAGTGTCTTTTGCTAAATCAAACACCAAGATTTCTTCTCTGCCAGCCAAGATTTCCACTCTCATTAATTTCATGCATGTTCCTTTCGTCTATATATGCGCATGCTACCATCCTTCTCATATACATCTCTTCACCACGGACCACCGTCTATAACAACTCCGACCAACTTGGATACCCTTGTTTACTTTTCTAAATTTCCTTGTTCTCATCTCAAGAAAGAAAACCAAATAACAAAAATAGATCAATGGCTGGTACCTCTATCATTCCAATATGTTTTATGGCTATTCTTTTTATAATTCGCGTAGTATCCAACGTTGGAAAATCCAAGCCATGGACAGCTTTTTTACCTCCTAAGCTTCAAACCGTTGATTTCACACGTAAGCTTCATGTTGAACCCGATGCCATCGTATCAGTCGCTACTGATTACGGTAACATCGTCCATGAAAGTCCAGCCGCAGTTCTTTATCCATCTTCAATACAAGATGTAATGAGTTTATTAAAATTCTCATACAATAACTCTGCTCCTTTTACTGTAGCTGCCAGGGGCCATGGCCATTCTGTCTGGGGACAGGCTATGGCCTCTAATGGAGTAGTAGTGGACATGATGCGTCTAAGAGATCATAAAAATGGGACTGGAATTACAGTCTCAAAAGACCCTTCATTGGGATTCTATGCCGATGTTGGAGGTGAGCAATTATGGATTGATGTGTTATATGCCACCATAGAACATGGGTTTGCTCCGGTGTCATGGCCAGACTACTTGTACCTAAGCGTTGGTGGGACTCTGTCTAATGCTGGAATTAGCGGTCAAACATTTCGCTACGGCCCTCAGATCAGCAATGTCTATGAAATGGACGTTGTTACCGGTATGTATGAATGGTCTTCTTCGTTTTCACATTTTTGCACTAGAAATTTTGTCAAGTTGAAGTTACTGTAAGTCAGCTAGCTATTAAGTAATTGTTAAGTTAAGCATTAGCTATTTCATCCCGTTTATAGACGTTAGAAAAAATTACTCCTGTCCATCGGGTCTCGCAGTGAAAATCTATGTTAATTATGTAGTTCACGAGAGTTATTCTAAACAGATGTTAGTTTCCTTGTCAATGCCTGCGCATGACGTCCATATATTTACTTGGGAGTTATTTCACCCAAAACCGTTTGTGAAAGACATTTTTTGTGTTTTTATTAATTATTTTGTGTTTGTTTCGTACATACAGGAAAAGGAGACATGATTACCTGCTCTTCACACACGAATTCTGAGCTCTTTTATGCAGTTCTAGGAGGGTTAGGACAGTTTGGAATTATAACTAGAGCAAGAATAGCTTTAGAGCCAGCACCGAAGCGGGTACCAGAAATTTACCGTGTATTTTGCTAGTTAGATTTATTTTTCACCATTTGATGCCTCGTCTATGATCTATATATTATATCTAGTAGGTTTTTGTTTTCTTTCTTATTATTTTTTTTTTAAAAAAAAAATTTGTGCTGCTTATTAATGTTTTATTAGGTGAAGTGGGTGCGAATGCTTTACAGCGATTTTTCTGCTTTTACAAATGATCAAGAACGTTTAATCTCGATCAATGGAAGGAAACAGAAGGATGCACTTGATTATTTGGAAGGTTCGCTTCTTATGGTCCCGGGTCCTCCAAATAATTGGAGATCCTCCTTCTTCCCATCATCCGATATCTCTAGAATAATGTCCCTATTAACCGAACATGCCATCATCTACTGTCTAGAAGTAGCCAAATATTATGATGATGGGACAAGACACACGGTGGACAAGGTACTTCATCAACATCATCAATATTTTATTCAATCACAAGTATATATAGCGGATGCATTTAATGATTGTCATCAGATTCTAGTGGTAATAGCATGACAATATATTAATGTTATTGTTATTTTTATAGGATCTGCAACAATTGCTCAAAGGGCTAAGCTTCCTTACCGGATTTATGTTTGAGAAAGATGTTTCCTATGTGGATTTTCTAAATAGAGTCCGAAGTGGAGAGCAAAAGCTTCATTCACAAGGACTATGGGATGTTCCTCATCCATGGTTAAATCTCTTTCTGCCAAAATCTCGTATCTTGGACTTCAACAAAGGTGTTTTCCATGACCTTGTCCTTAAACGGAATATTACAACAGGACCCCTTCTTTTTTACCCTATGAATCGAAACAAGTAAGTACGGTACTCAATAACCTTTTTTTTTAGGAAAAAAAAAAGAATAGTAATTATTTAATTAACAACTTAAGAAATGACCAACGTCATATTGCAGATGGGATGATAAAATGTCCGTGGTTATACCAGAAGAAGATATTTTCTATACCGTGGGATTTCTTCATTCGAGTGGGTTTAATGACTGGCAAGCCTATGATGATCAGAACAAGGACATATTGGAATTTTGTGAGAAAGCTGGTATTGAGATAAAGCAGTATTTACCCCATTACACTTGTAATAAAGAATGGCTTAATCATTTTGGCTCAAAATGGAAAAAATTCCGAGAGAGAAAAGTTCAGTTTGATCCCAAAATGATGCTATCACCAGGCCAGCGAATTTTCAATGACATTTAAGGCTTAGGTTTCCTTTTTCTCCTGGTATTTGGGCTACAAGAATGGTGATCAGACAACAAAAAATAAAATAAAATAGAACTGGTAATATGATTGCAAGTCGATCGCATTCAAAACGAGGGGAGCTCTAATTGGAACATATTCCTCGAGATTATTTATTTGCTGTTATTATTATTATTATTTACATTAAAGGAAGGTTCCAACTCTAAGCTCTTTGGAAACGGAAGGTACCCAATTTCTAGACTAGCTAGTTAGCGTGCCGTAGAGTTGTTTTTATCTTCATCCATACTAGGCTTGTAAATATTAATTGTATGGAGAACTAAATAATCAAGTAATAGATTGAGTTTGTCCTGTATATGATTTCTTTACTTTTTAAATTATATATATATAACATAATCTAATAATTTATTATGATGAAATCTTATATATAATACATTTGACAGTACAGTATTCACGTTGATGTCTTAAAAATATAATAATATGAAAATTAAAAAAGAAAAACATAATAATTTGATCCTTACATCTTTTGAATTATTTTAATTGAATGTCTTAATTAAAATCTTATTTATAACATTTGTCATATATCTAGAAGTGGACTCGGCATAGCAATTTAGAACTAATAGTGTTATAACGAAAAAATAAAAACAAAACAAAATAAAAAAAGTAAAAAGTTTTAATCAACGGAAAAAAAAATACAAAGTTTCAACTAAAATAATATTAAAAAAATAAAGAGATGATATAATAGACAAAACCGTAATAAATTATTGCATGCATGTATTGTTTCATTAAGGTTTCTCTTGATGATAGTAAACTTCTTACAATGTGAGAAAGAGGGCAATGTTGCATGTGCAGAGCGACTTCCAAAAGCTCAATACCGTGTGTTGTAATGCATTTGTTAATGTTTTCCTGACGTGCTTCTTTATTTTATTATTATTTTTTTAAAAATACCAAATTGATTTTTTATGTCCTTTTTTATCCTTTTCTTTCCAGTAGTTTTCATATGGGGATTATGAAAACCATGAAAAAAAAGAAAAAAACGGATCTGGTAAAAAAAACACTTGCGAACACATTATCAAACCCTGTTTAAAATAAATAACAAAAAACACAGCATTGCGGCCTCGAGATGGGCCACAGACGATTCATTATGCGTACAGAATGTTTGCAACTTTATGTGCAGCTTGCAGGCATCCAGGAGACATCAAAAGTAGCCGCCCAACCCCATTATGTTCAACCTTTTTATTTTCCTAATCTATGCACCATTGAGTAGCTAGATCACTAGGATTTTTGACATAAGAACAGCATGTTATCAATTAAAAATAAAGTTTGGATAACAAAACTCTCCTTTATTTGTGCTATTATGCCAAACTTTGTCAATCAAGCATAGTTCTAAATAGAGATACTTTTGGAGAAAATCCTTCCCAATTTCTTTTAAACTCAATGCACGTGCGTTTCTTTCGAAATTTTCATTCCAGCTATCAACTTTTAAGAAATTTCATAACAATTCTAGTTTTTTCCCCCTATAAGTGTCATCCAATTATTGGAGTTAAATTGACCAATGTTTGCTCATGGATTTTACCTATACAAGGGTACAATTGATGAATCGAATTATAAACTCATTTTTATAAGGTAGGAATGGCAGTGGGTTGAATACAAAGTAGGTGCTTTACCCAATTTGTCTAATAATTATCTTTTAAAATTACCCTAATGGATAATAAGATAAATATGAGTAAAATAATATTATCTATTTATGTTAATAGACAATTAATTTATGAATATGAGTATCCTCTTTTACGTTTTTAAAACTCATTATTTATCTATTAAAAAAATACTACTAAAATACAAACTTTTAAAACAAACAAAAACCACAAATTCGTGACACTATATTGATTGTAATTGTTATGAGCTTTATATATATATATATATATAACACAATTCTAGATGACAAGGAGTGTTTTTTCAACAAACTCGTAACAATATATTATTTGTTTGAATAATTTTAAAAAATCATTCTCCGCATTGACCTACCATAAGTATATAAAACACAAATCGTTATTTCTAAACTAAAGAAGGTTGCTTAAGGGATAGGTCCTAATTTGAGCCTATTGAGATTTCACTTCAATAATACTATTGAATATGAAAAATACTTTCAAGGGTAACACTTTGATGAAGCCAAAATTCATTAGTATATTTATTTATTTATTTATTATTATTTTGTTCTAGGACCAAAAAACTTGTATGCCAAAAAAACCAAAAAATTTAGCCTAATAAAAATTAATCTACATATAAATCATAAAATACAAATAAGACCAATTATATAGAAAAATATTGCTATATAAAAAGTGCAAGAGTTTGTAAAAATAATAATAATAATAAAATAAATAAATAAATAAAATAAAAAATTTGAAAAAAAGTCTTTAATTTAAGGGAAAAAAGGGTAAATGGGTTTGGACAAGGTATATGTAATATCCGTGACCTAAAACCCTCCTAGAATGTAAATGTATTGTAAAAATATTTTATTTAATTAATAAAAGTATATTTATTAAATGTGAGGAATATAGTTTAAACTTTAATTAAGAATAAATTAAAGTAATTATAATTGAAAGAAAATATCAATAGAATGATAAAAGATTGAATTAGAGATTAGTATCATAAATAGTTATGGTTATGCTTTGACATATGGTTATAATTGTAAAGATTAAAAGTTTAGGTCCTTAATTGAAATGATTAAGAACCTTTAGGAACTTGAATTATCTTTGGAATAGGCCTAGGATGAGGGCCAAATTGATAAAATTGTAAAGTTATGGACTGAAATTGGAGATTCCAATTGCAAAGATTAAAAGTTTAGGGACTAAAGTGTAAAAATATGACACTTTGAGGGATATATTAATTGATTTTAATGGATAAATTTTAGCTAGAGACTTCTAGAAAATTTGAGAAAAAAGGAAGGAAAGAGGCTACAAAGAGGGGAAGAAAAGGAAGAGAAAAATCAAGGAAAATCTAAGGAAAAAGGAGAAAGAAAAGAGAAAAATCAAGAAAAATCTAGAGAAGCCATTAATAACTAACCTTAAGATTAATCCAAGTATGACACATTTGGCTTAATCCTAAAGAGAAACCTTGGCTACAAATATGGAAGAAGAAGATGGAAGGAAATGTTGGAAAATTGAAGGAAACAAGCCACAAAAAAAGAAAGGAATTCAACCAAGAGAGAAACCACCAAACCAACACACCAAACCATCTTAGGAGACCTTGAAACACCTCAAAATCACTCTAAAATCAATTTGGGAAAACAAGCAAAAGAGGTCAAGAAAACTCCATCTTGACCGAAAGTTTGAGGATGAAGGAAGAGGATGAAATCCAAGGAGGAAAAATGGAAGATTAACCAAACTTTCAGTGAGGTAAGTATAATCCTCACTGCATCATAAGAAATTAGTGATTTTGATGAGTAATTGGTGTTAATTTTAAGTCTAATTGCTTATGGTTTAATGGTTAAATTGTTAGAGTTACAAAGTTGTTATTTGAATTGGATGGTTTTGATGATATATATGTGTTTTGATGTGAGAATGGTAATGTTTGAATGATTAATTACAACTAATTCATGTGTTTTGATGTTGTCCTTTTCTTTAGAAAAAAGAGAGATAACCTAAAACATGAATAAATTAAAAGTTTTATAACGTAATGTCTACAAGGTGTTTGATGAAATGTTTTAGCGAGTGTTTATGGAGTAAAATTGGAAGAATTGAAATTTGACCACTTTGTGGTAAATTTTAGCCAAGTGAGAAGTTTTGATTAATTGATAAACTTAACTTACTTGATGTTAAAATGATGAGGAACATGTTAGTTTAAGAGGTTAGAGGTGAAAAATTAAGAAAAAGAAAGAAATGGAAGTTGTCCTTAAATTGACCAATTTACGCAAGAATGATAAATAAAGGCAAAAAGCACTAAGGTGAGGATGGTGTTAATTTTAAGGATCGTACGGCATGAAAAATGGTTACACTCATGTGAAAAATGAAATGGTTATATTGCTTAAATATTTCATCCATGATGTGTTTTTAAGGTATTGTTGATATTCATTATCTATTCGTGTTTTGGCTTGCATATTTCATTGATGTGGAACATTTATTTAATTTAGTATTTATGTTACTCGCTCTTAAGAATTTGAAAGTATGCATGTTGAGGTTTATGTTAAATGCATTTGCATATCATAATCTTGAAAGAGGCTTTATTTTCATGATTTTGATGAAAGGAAAGGTTTTCAAAAAGAATGGCTTGGTACCTTTTTGAGGTGATGGTAGAGGAAATATCACCCTCTCTTGAGAAAAATGGGCACACTTAGGGTGTTAAGGTTATAAGAAGGTACCTAATGCTTTTTGTGATTTTTCACAAATTACATGTTTTAACGGAAGGTCGATTATATACATAATTGAAAGGGTGCATCCAAAGAGAAAATGAATTTCAAAAGGCATGAAAATGATTTTTAAATAAATCACGTGCATTATATGCATATGAAGCACGTCATGCATTGTAAGGTGCCATCAAGATAACTTGAACACTTGCCTTTTCTTATGTGCTTAGTATGTTAATGGGCGATGAACTTTACTTTTGCTTAACTTCATTTTAGCATGTGTATTTTTCATAACCCTATGAGTGGGTCATGACCTATACGAGAATCAAGGAAACTACGAGGCCTACCTTGACTCAAGTAAGCCTTGAATATCTAAAGTTAAATCTTGAAAATTATATTATATCTAACATTATTTCAATTCACAATAATCCAACGTAATAATTATTATTTTATATCTCTAACACAAATAATAATTTTAATATGATCCTTGTATTTCTTAATTTAATATCCATAATTGATTTGTAATACAATACCCACAAGCTCTAATTGTAAAGCTTGTGGAAATACAATAAAATGAAGCATAAGTTCTAAGAGAATATGAGAAAATAAGTAGCAAGGTCAATGCATCGACTTCAAGACAAGCGACCAAATAAAAGCTAAA